AACATTTTTTTATAAACCTATTTTATAACATTGCTTTTAGGAATAATTAATAATACAATTTTACAATTTTAAGGTTTTAGAATTCAAACATTTTTCAACTAATTGTTATTTATATAGAATAGATACTATCATTGAACATTAAAAAAATACAGTAATAAAATAGTTATTAGTTATTACAAATAGGTACCTAATAGTTAATTAAAAAACTGTAAAAATAAGAAATAGGTAAATAAAATGAACCCAAAAAATGCATAATTTTTAGTTTAGGTAGGTAATGAAAAACAATAATTGAACAGTGAATAACTAGAGATTATAATTGCCTAAAATTTATCATTTAATAATAACATATTTTAGAAATAGGTAAATATTACTCTTATTAAATTTAACTACAGCTAACAAATGTAAACTAATACAGTAATACAACCACTTAGTTTTATAATGGTTGATGTGGAGTCTGATTTTAAACAGATTTTAAGGCCAGGAATTTAGATTTAAAAGTGGCCTCCTTACTGTGGAAAATGTGCGGTCATACTCAGTACAGTACAATATACTGTATTGATAGAATGATTATGGTAAAGAATTGTTATAACTTATTACTCATGGTTTTATATCGAGCAAGTCACACTAGTATGATACTATATTGGATAATTGGATTTTACTTAAGTATAATTTACCAAGGTTAAATCTTTTTCCGTCTTATTTTTATCCAAATATGAAAAGTTAAAATCTAAATCCAATAAAATTATAATATAGTTATATATGTTTTGGACCCCTCCTGAAAAAAATTTCTAGATACGGACTTGATACAAATACATATAATAATTAGTTGCACACTATTATCTTCGTGTGGTTATACAAAAATTTAAAATATTAAGTAATACGCTAGCATGCAAAACGAATATTTTATATTATAGCTTACCTTAGATCTCGATCAAGTTGAAACACAAAACTATAATACTAGTATAAGTATAATACTATAGTGTCAAAGACGACTAAGAATTTTAAAATATTACGTGCACATACTACACTGTACACTTCAATCAGTATAATAATATTAGCGATGGCGATGTCAAATTGGCTAACACAATCAAATATTCAAGTGTGACTTGACAAATTGACACAAACACACTACAAACAGCGGCACCAGAATTACAAATACATCCACAAAATGTTTATAAGAATTAAAAGCCCGTTACTGAAATATATTTATTTATAGAATAATAGGTAAAACCATTGGTAGGGTACGTATTGTGAGTTGGAGAGACGATAGACGTGTGACGATCCCGTACGATAAGAGTCCGTTACTGGAAATATATTTATAGAATAACAATAGGGTACATACTACATATTGCAACTTGGAGAGATGAGTGACTCGCGACGATCCCGCACGTACACCAAGTGCCAACATAAATTATAAATGCTGATTAATGGTTACTGATTATACACTTTTCAAACACGTTTGACAAAAATTTTTAAAATCAATGTACCTATAAATAGCTAGGTACACTCTTATTCATCTTTATGCGTAGTAATATTTATTATTATGCCTAATCTGTATTTTAAAAGCAAGGTATTTCACTTTATATATACCCTTACCATTGATTATAGAATAGATTCTATTTTATAATCAATGCCCTTACTCAATAACTGTGCTAGAGTTTGCGAGGCCCTGGGCAAAATAAATATTGAGTCTTATAATTTCTATTAATAAAATATTTTAAGTTCAATTAAATCAGAACCCTCCCCTCATGCCGTCCCTGCCATTACTTAATTATAATTAAATAGTATTAATATAATACCGTATGTTGAAAACATTCAAATATTATTATTAACTAATTTTACCAAAAATATTATAATAATTATATTATGATAACTTTATTATTATTATTATTATTATTACCATGCATAAAATATATTATAATATTATTAATAATTAAATACGGAAAAAATATTATAACAATTATATTATAAAATACTTAAAATAATATTTGTATTACTGTATAAAAAAAATATTATTATTGAATTACTGAAACGATATTATATTAATAAGAAAATTATGTTATTACAATAACATATTTTATATAATATTATTTATGTACTGTAATAATAATAATATTATATTATTATCATCACACAATTGCTATCTGGGTGTCAATTTTAAATGGTATTTATTTAATAAACGTTTATTTTTCGAATCATCGTCAATATACTACAAATCTAATCTTACCTTCGTCGGGCGACCAATATAATTATCTACACATTATTTAACAACGTACTTATTAGAGGCCTGCACGGGCCAGATCCAAATTTTTTGTTGACGTCTAAGGTTCATTTCCCGTGTTGGGACTTATCTAGATAAATTATCTAGGTAGATTTTTTGTCATCTTTTATATTATCTAAATAATTAACGTTAAGTTATCTAATTACTTATCTAAAATAAAATTTTTACTTATCTAGATAATTGTCTGTATTCTTGTCAAGATTAAAGTTATTTTTATTCTTGTACGGAAACGAATCCAAAAAATCAGAGATCATAAAAATCGGTCCAGCTGTTCTTGAATTATAAATTCTGTAACTAACCCGACTTTCTTTTATATATATAGATTTTTTATTCATAATCATAATTTGTGTATTATTAATAAGCAATTATTATTTCTTGGTATGACATTTTGTTTGTATTTTCACGTCGGGAAAATATTTTTAGTATTTTTAAACTTAATTTCTTATTTTTCTACGGAAGTTCCAAATATAGTACTTATTTGATTTTAGTATTCACATGTAACTCATATGCTGAATAGTCATAACTTCACTCGTGGAACCTGTAAAGTCATAACTACTTATAGAATAATGAATATCATCAAATTAATATTATATGGAAAACAATACTGTTAATTTAAAATAATTTTTATGTATTCTGTATTCATCCTGATACGTACAGAGCAATTTTCATTTTTTTTTTTTTTTTTGTGTAACATTTTAGTGATTAACTATAATTTAATATTGTACATTATATATAAATACTGTTTAATGGTACACTACATTACTATAACAAACATTAAACACTAGGTACCTATTGATAATAATGATTATAATTGAGTCTTCATAGATATTATTAGAATATGAAATATTGACCAAAAAGTAACATTTTTTGAAAATATCTTTTTTTATCTTTATTTAGATATTTTAATTTTTTATCTATTATCTTTATCTAGATACATTTTGCATTATCTATTCCCAACACTGTCCATTTCATAGTCGTGCGTATCGTCCACGAAATTTTAAAATTACAATAATTAAGTTCATACGTAGAACTGATGAGGGAGTGTATGGGTTTTTGTGATCGGTTAATATGTACTTAAAAAATATAAATTGAAAAACGCCCCATATGAATGTTCGGCTGTGAAACGAGCCTAAAGCTTTAAAGATATATTTCAAAGCCCGGCTTGACCCTAATGAATGTTTTAACACTAAAATTTAATTTTTGTACAAGTTTTTTTACATTCTGAAAAAACTCAGCCCGGACCGTAATAGATTTAAAAATTTGAAAGCCCGGCCCGGAGTCCATGTCATATTTGAAAAAAATCCTGGCTCAGCCTGGATTTAATGTTTAAGGGTCTGGCCCGTGTAGGTCTCTAATACATATTTTGAGACAGTATAGAAGTATTTCATTAGTACGACTTATAAACTATATTAGTTTAAAATAATATTTAATGTAATAATAACAAGCTATGATAAATAATAATTCTAGAAATTATAAAAACTTGTTTTTGCATATTTTTGTATATTTTGATAAATAAAATGCATATTATATTTTATTGCATATAAATCACAGCCTTAGTGATCAGTATTATTGTTGTTAATACTATCTTACATCCACCATGTTTTCGGTTGGCAAAAAAATATTAAATACTTGCTGGGTACTATTCTCACTATTTCTTTAATAAGTAAAATTTAAATAAATGAGAAAATATAAAAGTTAAATATATTTAAAGGGGAAAAAACAATGTTTATCACAAATACTATATTTTTCATGATATAAACGTTTTTCACATATTAGTTTATAATATAGACATAAAGTACCTATTACATATTATTAAAAAAAAATAATTTAGTTAATTGATGTCGTTTACAAACAATATTTTAAGTTTTTGCTTTACCGACATATTGTAGTTGAATTTTTAAGTATTTTTTACAGATTAATGTTACTTACTAAATCTAATTTATGATTTTGCAAAATGAATTATTGGAACTGGTCATATTTTGTAAACTATTGAAATTATAATCATAATTAAATTATGATTATAATTCCAAAAATTTTTTGATTGAGATTATTATTTTTACAGATTAACCAGGCATAATATAATTAAAATAGCAGGTTAGTTTGGTTAACAAATTTTCAATGTATTTAACTAATTTCAAAACACTATTCAAACTCTTTTATAATCCTTCTTCTATTTTTTACATTAATTAATATAGAATAAAAATATTTATGACTAAAGTTAAGTTCACTTGTTTGTTTTATATTATTGTCTATGCACATTGTACAATAATTTTATGTAGTTTTCTTACAATAAAATTAATAATATAATAAAGAATATTATCCTTAATATTACTAAATTGGTCAATCTCGTCCATCTCGTCAATCTAAAGGCGAAGTTAAATAATAATCAATAATCTATAGTTTTTTGAATGCTGTAATAGTTTTATTAAACTTTTTTTTTACAGCTAGATCTAAGCTATGGTTACATGGATATTAATCATTGAGAGATTTTAAATGAACGTTTAAAAATTACTATTAAACTAGTTTACTTGTTGTACTTTGTAATTTGATCTCAAGTTAAAATTAAAGTAGAAGGCACAAAATAAACGAAAAATATAAAATACTCCTCCCAAAACAAGTATAAAATGTTGATCGATTCCCTTTCATTTTAAATTTAAAATATTCTACGTGTATGATTGTTCTATAATATAAATTATTTAAGTCTTTGAATAATGAAAGTTAATTATAAATTATTGTTCAAGAAGATCATACATTACTGTTCACTTTAATACGAAAATAAAAAGGATAGGTTATTAAAACACATCAATATATCGAATTGAAGGACATACAATTAATATTATCGTATTAATTTAATAATAAATTAATTATAAATGTATTTATTTATTAATTAATTTGTGGTATGTGAACGATGTATAAACACGTCTACATAGAGTTAGTTTCGGTGTTCATTGGGTTTTATCGATTGGTTTATACGTTTTTTTGTAGAACTTTAAAAACATGTAGAGAAATAAAACGATATCTGCAAATACGTAAACAATAAATAATCTGGGATAGGTGCAGTCAAACGCGTACAGGCTTATGCAGTACGTTATGGCGATAATGAATTGTATCTGGAAACATAACGTTATTAATTGGACAGTAACTAGAATAAAGCAGTTAACGTCTTAATCGGGTAATGTTATACTTACAATTTGTATACACGTCAGATATTTCTTCCACCATAAATGTTTTCGGACGTTTGGTCCTAGTGCCGTAAGGAAATAGTAACTGTACATTACTATGTGAACGAACGAATTGACAATGGTCCCTAATGCAGCGTTTTCGCCTGTAAACCATCTTAATATTATATATACATATTATAATTTATATCAATTCAAAACCGACAGCATGATTTGTAAAAACAATTTCGAGTGTATTTCTTAGTACTATATATAAATTTGTACAATACAAAAACAAAAAAAAAAAACATTGAACAACACAAGTACTCACATTACGATAGTTATTAATGTCGTATTCATTATTATTATAATAAGATTTGGAAGTGAATTATAACACAAATTATTTTACTGGAAATGGACGAGATGTTACGTTTCATGTTAATTGATCCATATCAAAATCAAAATAAATTAAAATTATTAATAAAGAAATATTATACACTCAATCGTTACTATGAAAAAAAAAAAATCTGGATATAGTTTTTCTTAGTTAATTTAACTGTTCGGAACTAGTAAAATAATAAAATATGAATATTATCTAACAAAATGTAAAAAATAATATAAGTATATTTTTTTTTTGTTATATAAATATAAATGAATGTTTTATGTGCAAGATGGATATTAATTTTAATCTTATATTAAAAAATTTAATATGAAATAGTTTGAGTTCTCAGTGTAAACTAAATTAAAATGAGACGGGAATTAGAGATATTAAAATTGAAGAAAATTACACTACAATAGGCGTTTTCAATTTTAAAGCAATCATAAATTATTGGACTAAAAATGTTTCTGAAACAAACTTGTGTTGATATTATGTTTTTAAATGTAAAGTGATCTTGCACGAAATTATTTTCCGAAAAAGGAAACACCATTAAAAAGCCAATATTATTTTATCATCCCTTAGGTTAGAAGTTTATTTATTATTTGAAAATTTAACTACAAGTACAAAAATAAATCAACTTAAAATGGTTAGGTATCAATAGTGTTTGATTTAAAAATGCCAATCAGACACCTCGAATACTATACAGTAGTATAAGTAGGACTACCATAGTAATTTGTGATATGATTTATTAAGAATAACTTGATACGGGAATAAAATTTAAAATATAAATTAGCGTTTCCCAAACTGTGGTCCACGATCTTTAGGGGTCCGCACATATACCGAAGGGGGTCCGCGAAAGAAAAATTTAAAATATACAAAGTATTATTATTTATTATTTTTTTTAATTTTTATTTGTACTAAGGGGTCCGCGATCATTTTTATTATCTCTAAGGGGTCCGACAGAAAAAAATTTGGGAAACGCTGATATAAATGAAAATGCTTACTTTTTATAAATCTCAAATGGAAAAAACAAGTAACTACCATGTTAATATGATGGTAAACATGTAAGAACGATACATGTGAATCCTTTTTTCTCAGAATAAAAAATACCTATAAGTTGAAATAAAACGTACAGTAAAAATATAAAAAAAATAAATATTTAAATTTATATTTTATTTGTTGATACTTATAAAATGCAAATATATAATATCTACATTCAGTGCGGAAATGGCGCCCACAGTTTTTCCATGAACCAGTGCAATTATAATTATAGGGCCCCCAAATTTATTTACTGTTTGATTGAAATTTATTGTTTGATTGAAATTATTTTTTTTCCAAATACATTTTCAAATGCATATTTACCTTAAATATATTTATGAATATTGAAAATTCCTGTACAACATTTTTTTAATAGGGGGTTTGAATTTAAAATTTTACAAAAAAAAAATCTTCTCCGATTGGTATTGTTGAGGGCAGTTTTTCAATTACAATAACTTATTAATTATTAAAGATTTAAAAGTTTATACTACAACATAATAATTTTGATTAGTAATTTAATTTAAGGCATTGGATATGTGTTAACTTGCTTTACAAAAAAAATCTATTACTTTATCATAATTTATTTTTATATTGTAGTTACATAACTATTAACATAATAGCAAATAAATCTCGGAGTTGCCTACTGAACCCTGATACAAACTACCAACTTAATCAACATTACTAAAGTTATCTATATTAGTTATTATATATTTATATTTAGTTGCATATTTGGCACTATTAACTCTTTACGTTTTATTTAACGATCTAAAGATTCAGATGAATAGTTATGCATTTATAGTCTTTGCTCCAAGGACTTTTTTTTTTTTTTTTTTTTTTTAATTTTTACAATAAGGTTTTCCTAGCTTACGCTATCTATACCTAGAGATGAAAGATAAAATACATTTTGGCGTAATTAAGTGCGATAAATAAATAAGTTACAATTTTACATTAGATGATAACAGTAGTTAGAGAATTAATTAGATAGTGTCTTGAGGAATTAGGTCATGTGGGCGACCTCGTTTGAGACGGCGCTGTGGAGGTGGTCTGGTGTTGATGTGGTAGTGCATTGAGCCTGTTGACCTATGGATGGATTCGAAGAAGCTCACAGCCGTGAGCTTGATGTGGTCTTGAATGGTTGAAATTTTAAGATCTTTGTGTATGCTTGAGTTCCTTACAAACCATGGGGCGTTAGTTATCGTTCTTAAGACTTTGTTTTGAAATATCTGCAGTTTTTTGAGATGAGTTTGTGCGCAATTACCCCAAACAGGGCAGGCGTAAGTGATTAATGGACGTAGTACTTGCTTATAAATAAGTAGGGAAAGGTTTTTTTGTAGGGAAGACTTTCTGTTTAAGATAGGGAAGAGCATCCCTAAACGTTGATAGGCTTGTTGAAGTTTAGTTGAGAGGTGTGGCCACCAGGTTAATCTTTTGTCCAATGTTACACCGAGGTACTTGACGGATGGCTTCCATGAGATTGGCTCATGGTTAAAAATTAACGGTGGTGGAGTAGGATTACGGCGTAGACTGAATAATACACTTACGCTTTTTGATGGATTAATTGATATTTTCCAGTTCTTGCACCAGGCAGATAATGTATTTAAGTGGTTTTGTAGGTGTACAGATATTGCTTCTGGGTTGCGAGATTCAGAGTAGATGACAGTATCGTCCGCAAAGAGGGCTATGTTTGTGTGCAGTGATTGCGGGATGTCGGATGTGTAGATGTTAAATAATGTTGGGCCAAGTATAGATCCTTGTGGGACGCCAGCTACGATTGGTTGGAAAGAAGAAAAGTTGTCATTTATTTTAACAGAAAATTGCCTGTTAGATAGAAACGAAGTTAGGGAGTTGAGTAGGTAATATGGTGTGTTGATAATTTTGAGCTTGTACAACAACCCATGATGCCAAACCTTATCAAAGGCTTTTGATATGTCAACGAAAACGGCACCCGTGTGACAGTGTTTTTCATATGAGTTGCTTATATGTTCAGTTATGCGCATGAGTTGCTGTGTAGTTGAATGATGTGCTTTGAAACCAAATTGGAATTTAGGAATTGTGTCTGTACAGTTTAGATAATTTTGCAGTCTTGAGAGGATGACTTTTTCGAAAATCTTCGATAACGAAGTTAGCAGACTAATTGGTCTGTAACTGTCGGGGTCTGATTTGTCTTTTCCAGGTTTTTTTATGAGTATTATGATTGCTTTTTTCCAGTTATCCGGAAAGTGACCAAGGCGAAGGAGCGAGTTAAATAGAGAAGTCATGAACATAATTGCCTTATTAGGAAGTTTTTTGTACATAAGATTCGTGATGTTGTCGTGGCCAGGAGATTTTTTATTAGGTAGCCTTTTGATTATTGTTTTAATTTCACCAGGTGTAGCAAAGTTGATTGAATTTTGTACAGAGAAGTTTGGTGATCTCAGAACATCTAAAACCCTAAGATCATTAGGGTTGTGTGCGTACTGATTCAGGGAGAAAGTATTCGAAAGGTTTTCCGAAAAAAATTTGCATTTATCCGCGTCAGAAATTATGAGATGAGTTGGAGTGCGAAGAGGAGGAATGCAATTTGTCTCTTGGTTTAAAAGATTTTTTGTGACTTTCCATAGGCTTGAGTCGTTTTGATGAATATTTGACAAGAACTTGCTATATGAATTTACGCGGAATTGTTGAAGGGCGGTTTGCACTTGTTTAGTAAGCTTGTTTAACGTTGTTTTGGCTGCTGAGTTTCTCTGGTTTTGCCAAGCACGTCTGGCGATGTGTTTTTGTTGGATTAAAGTCAATATGAACAGTGGTAGTGAACCGTGATTTTTTTGAATTGGATTTTGGGGTGAGGTGACCGAGCACGCCCGTGCAGCATCAGTAACGACTTCGGTGAAATGTTCAGCAATTTTGTCTGCTGCTAAGACAGTAGTTATATTTTTTGGAATAATTAATTTATTATTTATATAGTCTGAGTAAGTGCACCAATTTGGTTTACCTTTGAAAAGTGAGACATTTGAGCGGTAAAATTGCAATGGAGAATTTAAATGTATTATTACTGGATTGTGATCTGAATCGAGTTCAGAGAGGGATTCTTGTACGACGTTGAATTGAATTGATTTGGTTACAAGAATGTCTAGTATGTCAGCAAGTCTATTCATATCCGAAGGAAAATAAGTTGGTGAGCTTGGTGCAGATACTATACATGTAGAGGTAGATATGTATTTATGTAGTTTAATACCGTTTGGATTCGAGACACGGCAACCCCAATTAGTATGTTTCGAGTTTAAATCACCGGCCATTATAATGTTATTGTGTAGGTTCATTAATTTGTCGTAATCGGCGATGTGCATTGTGCGGCTTGGTGGTTGATAAGCGCTGACGATTAGAATAGATCGATTATTAAAATTAATTAGCACTGCAGTGGCTTCTAAGCTCTGAAGAACAGGAATTGGGAAATGTTGGTGTTTAATTTTGTTGCGTAACAGTATTGCTACGCCGCCCATAGAGCGTGTCGGCGCGTTACGATCCGCGCGGTACATTGTGTAGCCGGGGAATTTAATTTTGTCCGTGTGTGACAAATGTGTTTCGGTTATGCAAGCTATGTCAATATTATGATGGTTAAGAAATGCCATTAAGGAGTTCCTTTGGGATTTAATACCGTTGGCGTTCCAATTTAGCAAAATTGCGTTATGGGGAACCATGAGTGTTTTGATTTAGGCTATTTATGATGACGGGCAGATTTTCGATTATTTTCTGCATGAGTTGAGTGATGAAGGTATTTATAAGTGGTAGGAGCGTTTTCATGAAGCCGTTGTCGCTATCTGCGTTGTTAGTTGAATTACTGTTGGAGTTATTTTTGCATGCAGAGGCATACGTAATATGATCATTAGTGTTATCTTTGTTAGTATATACATGCTGATTAGCCGGTTTAGGCATTGAATTACTATAATTATTGTTATGGCGAGGATTAGCGAATGTTTTATTTTTGTTTTTTGTTATATCTTTATAAAATGTACAGCCTCTGTAACTAGCTGGATGGTCACCGTTGCAATTGACGCATTTAGCAGGAGTTTTTAGAATTTTTTGACATTGGGTATAGTGATGGTCGCCCGCGCATTTAACACACCTGGGCGGTAAATGACAAAATTTTTTAGTGTGCGAGAATCTTTGGCAGTTTGTACACTGAGGGATGCCAGTTGATGGTTTTCTTGGCTCTACGGAAACTACACAGTGTAACAATCTATTTAAAGAGTAAATGTCGGGTGATGATTTTTTGAGGAGAACGGCGACGATTGGAATAGGATTTTTATAACGGTTTTGGAGACGTGTCACGGTGTCTACTTCGAAGTTAAGTTCTTTCAGCTCGTTGAAAATCATTTCCTCCGTTATCGGAATTGGGAGGTTCCTGATGACAACTGATAATTGTTTTTCAGTTTGGAATTGGTAGGTATGATATTTAATTTCAGATTCGTTGAAACTTTTTGTAATCGATCTGTAATCTTCGATTGAGCTTAGGTTTAATTTTAATGAATTTTTTGTATGTGTGACTGAGAATTCGTCAAAAGTTTGATTAGATAAAGAAGTATGAAATGTTTCGAAATTTGAAATATCGTAGACGTAAATTGGCGGTATTTTGGGACTAACCTGTGCGTCCTGTGCGTTGTCGTTTGTGGAAACGCCGTCTTGGTCAAGTTCGTCGTCGATGTTTTGAAGCGGAGTAAATTTGTTTTTGCTTTGAAAGGGTGGAGTAAGTGGAGCTGCGTTTGTTCTCTTTCTTGGGGCGTGTTGTAGAATGCGGGTTTGGGGAGACCCGCGACCCCTATTTGAAGGCATGTTAAAACGGTTACGAAGTATATATGTTACGGTAAACAGAGCACGGAGGACAACCTGCTACGACGGCTACTGATAACCAACGGCTCCAAGGACTAGAGTGGGGCTTCCAAATATATGTAGGCCCTTGGACCCACGAGAAACCATTGTAATTGGACTACTTGGTACCCTACGTGGCACCACTGCAGTGCGGGGTTGCAATAAAACTTAAATAAGAATAATCTTTATATAATAGGTCATCAAACTTCTATCACCACTAAAACACATCGTAATTCATACATGTGCAGTATTTATTTACAATGAGTATAGTGTATGATAATGGTTGCCTATTATATAATATTTGTTGATTTGGCATTCGGTTTATATAATCTATGTTCATAATTTGATATTTTAAATATTGTCTATATATATATATATATATTATTACAGTATACTCACTGTGTCAAATAAATCCATAATCTTTGATACAGAAAAATACCATGAAGCTTTGTGCAGCTAAAACAAATAAATCCCGTGTTAATATTTTGTTAATTGGTAGTTACATAAAATAATAAGCCATAACTAATATTATATATTATGTGGCACAATCAATGTCGGCCAGTAGACTGTTTTGGTAAACAGAAGAACAGTATTCTAACTAGTCGTATTAGTGTGTACAAGATTTAATAACCAGATAATATTATCCTTAAATTGTTATACAATGAATCACAAAAAACTGCTTTTTATGCAGCATAACAGATTAACCGGAAAACTATTTGAACTATGAATAAAATAAAATAATTTATTTTCATATAAAATGAATACCTATCTATTATCATTAATTTTTACATAAAGTTTTCGATACCAATTGAAACAAAGTTTTTTTTTTAAATTTTTTATAAATTTTGGTTTTACCATAGTGTGTTTTTTTTGTGCCTGTGTACACGATTTCGATCATTTAGACAAGTAGGATTGCTTTGATCATCATAAACATCAAATATTTCTGATGATTTCTAAATTTTGCATAGTTAGTTACATTTTTTTTTAATGATTGCGAATAACTCATGGGAAATTATAAAAATAAAGAAACATTTACAGCTTACCGGTTTTCAAAACAATCGAATTTTTGGTATTATCCTAATTCAAAAAATAATAATCGTAGAGACATAAAATTTTCACTGAATGTTTATTACCTTTTACTATAGATGGCATAGTCTTCAAAAGATATTGTTGAGCTATTTATAGAAAATTGAAATTTTCATAATGTCTTTCTGAATGCTTTTTTTTTTAAAAAAAATGTCGATAAAATAATTTTGGTCTGTTAAAAAGTCCCGAAAATGTAATATGAAATTTCTCATATAAACCTATTATTGATCAATGAAGAAAATTGAATTTAATTAAAAAAAAAAAATGTATGATCATTTCAATATTAAATTTTGACAAAACAATAATAATCACGAAAATTCCCTATATCTATGATATATAATTTCATAACATTTTCAATTGAAAATTGGATACAAGATTTTTGATAATAGTTTTTTTGTAGTCAAAAAAAAAAAAAACTATTGGAAAGCTGTAAAAATGTTTCGCAAACTCTACAAAATGGAAAGTTGAAGAAATCGAATATTTCAACGAACGATATTAGTTATAGTAACGTCACTGGAATTCAGGCTTCTACATACGATAATACTACAGTGGCGCTATTTGGGGGGGGGGGGATGAGTAGGGTGTGCGAGTGCACATCCTGAATTTTTTTCATCTTAAATTATTGGCTATTGGCCTAAGTGTTATTGATTCATGGCCTTTCTACCTAGGCCTTCAGTTTTCTAATCTTTAATATTGTGAATGCACCGTGGCTAACCAGTAATCACTGCTATTCATACATTTTGGCCTGGTAGTGGGAAAAAATTGGCCTCTTTAAATGCTTGCACACCCTTTGCAAGAAACTGAAATTGCTCCGCTGTAATACTAATACCAATCACTCCGTCCCACAGTACGCTCGGGAACAACACCGAGGTCTATTGCCGGGGTTTGCCGTGACCGTCTGCTCGCAGCTTAAATAGGCGAACTCCCAATGAGTGTAGAATCTCCTACCGCTGATCGCGACGATGGACCAACGATGCCGTTGGCGGTTGTCTACTCGCCGCACTAACCCGTGGCAAATCGTTCGACCGTTTTCAGCTACATACATCTGTAATATTTTCGTCGAACCAGTGCTTTTGGTCCCACACAGATAACAAGACGAGATATTGATTTTTACGTATTTTCATTATGCACCAACGTTACGGATATGACTTCATGATCTGTGATCAAGGAAAGCTAGGAAAAACACATGTCTGGAGCACTGTGACATCGACCCACATGTAAACGTTATACCATCTATTCCGTACACAGAATCCTAGTGGGGGATCTCAGTAATCTATCCAAAACTTTCTACATATTTTTTTATATAAAAAAACATGTTACATTTATATATATTTAATGATCTTTCTATTATTTTGTTTACGTAAAAGATACGTTCATATTATTAATAATATTATATATTCCACTAATTTAATTTTAAATTATTATCCATCTATAATAATAACCCACAGTATCCGGTGATGTGTCCTCACCAACACCACGTGTCTCGGGCTGTGGTTCACCGGCAAGTCATTTATCGGCAGGAGCAAAAATAGTAAACTACCGTGCGGGAACTGAAAGATCATGGTAGTCGAAAACGTCTCATTATTTAGTTAAGATATTAAGACGTTTTATGCTTTTAAATTCTTTGGACTGAATTATTATTATAAAATGATTTGAAATTTGTGTTGTTTATAAGTATATGCAATTTTCGATTCATTTAATTTTTTTATTTTTTTTTTTTTTTTGTGGAAGTTAGAACATTAAAAGTTCAACCTATCTTATTAATTAATTTGGTTTTTTAATATATCAATAATCTTAAGTTACGTAAACTGATTCACCTGATCTCTTTCATTCAGAATCGTTTTTTCGATAGTATTGATTTGAAGTTTTAAAGACCTTTTCTTCAAATTCTAAAAATAATAATTTTGTTAATGATCATACTTTTCTAGCTTGATGCTTATAAAAACTGTCCTCATAAAATGAGAAATGCCAAATGTAGAGAAAAATAAATAGTATGCTATGCCGACATTTTTGAATAATTCGTTGTTGATTTTCTCATTATTTATTTTTTTATACTTAAATTCAAAGAACTTGTTAATTCGTAATTTTTATTAATTTAATAAAGTAAAATTATTAAAATAATTTATTAAGTGTATTTTTTTTTTGTTAGCATAATTATTTGAGATAAAAAAATATAAAAATGAGAAGAAAAAGAAAACTAATTTAAAAGACATGTTTTCTTTTGTTTTAGGTATTTACAATTGCATCTTTTTTAAGAACATTTTAAAGTAAACGTTAAAATAGAAATTGTAATAGTTTATCATTATGATATTATTAACTTATAACGATAAGTGTTTTTTTTGAACATTCAAGTGTAGACATTATTGAAAATCAGTAGTTAGTAAACAAAATATATTGCTTCCATATAAAAAAAATAAATATTTTAGCGCCTTACCTCTTGTGTGATATAATTTTTGGTACCCGTACTATCTGGATAGCATGAATAGTTCCACAAATAACTTGGTAATTCAGGTGTGATGAATTGCTGAAATATGAATTGTATTATTATATGTAATAAAATAAAATAAATAAATATTTAAAAGCGTTCTACATGATTAATGAGTCATCTCAAACAGTTAGTTGCTTTGACTCGTGGAGACCACTTCATAGACATACACAGTGTTTTAAGATTAATCCTAATAAGACTATAAAAACTACAAGATTAGAACTGTCGAAGAACCGATGAGACAATTTTTAAATCAAAAAATAGAGAAAAAATATTGAATCTCATAGTTATAATTAATTACCACTTTCCTAGTTGGGTATTTTTCCCGGGACCCAAATATAATCAGCAACTAGTAAGGTTCGCCAATAATATAGATGATTTTGACGATCAGAAGAAAAATTGTTTAAAATATACTAATAATTTATAGTATTATAGTACAACCTTGTTATACGGTTAAAACATTAAAACGGATCTTGATCCTAATCACCGCATTAAAATTCTAAATGGTCTTAAAATTATTTGAAATATGTAATTTTTTCATAAAATGTAATCTAATACTGGACAGTATAGTTATCAGACTTGTAAGTATACGTGTTTTAATAAATTCTGTTATGTGCAATTATTATTCAAAAATTTATTGCTGTTTCGAAAGTGATTTCTACTCGTATTTACTCACATAAACTAAAATATAGCTGTTAAACACAACTTGCATTAAATTGTAGAATAACATTATGTACTTAATGTTGATTGGTTCACGAGTTTTCATAAATGTTGGACCAAGCTTGAGTACAAAAGTCAAGTAGACTGTTAGTATGATGCATATTGGCCATGGCGAGCTAATGAATAGCCACGAATCGATCATGTTGTCTGTGAACGAAAAATAATTTATTACTTCAAACTATTGTGTTTGTACTTGTAATATAGATTAATGAAACAGTATGTGATTTGTATAAAAAGTAAATAGCCTTTAAGAATTATATAATGCTATGCATGCATTTCGAATGACTTACCAGACTTGAACTCTTTGTGGATCAACTGAAACACCTCATTCATACCATTCATGACGCCACGAGTTACTATTTTCAAAATTAAACTTGAATTATCGCCTAAAAACAATAATATAATTTACGTTGCAGTCATATCATCCAATAATAATAATAATAATAATAATATGTAAGTTATGGAGGACTGTCTAAAACTAAAAGGTCAAGAAAAAAATGTAATTGTATTATGAACGAGCTCGGGTTTTGAGTTTAAACAATTTTAATTTTTTATTTTATAGCTTGTTTGAATTGAAAATTTTGTATAACTATTTCACGAAGAGACTGTTACAGTTTAAAAGTAAAACATAACCTTTGAAATAATTAAAATAATTAAAAATGAACGTTGTTAATATTTGTTTTTGTTAAAAACGTTAATAATTTGCTATGCAACTTTTTGTAACGTTAACGAAAAAAAGCAATAAAGTGTTACATTTTTAAACAAAAATTCACTATTTATTGAAAAATGCCATAGCATACATACAGTCATATCGTCTTACCTTCAAATGAAAAAAAGAAGCGAAAGCGTACAGTATGATTAAATGAACATATTCCTAATGAAAACACATAAATAAGTATAATGATAATATTTATTACTATATTATTGTAATTTTTTTAAACTTTGAAATATAATAGACAAAAAATACTCTTCATAGTCTATAGGTTATATACTCGTACAGCTTGATAGAAATGGGTGTTAAAACTGAAAACTAATTTATTGTCTTTTTACGTCGTGTAATATTATAGGTACACAATGTAAAAGAAACACATCTAATTAAACTATTTAAATTTGTCGTGACGCGTAATGAACAGTAGGCGTATTTTAATAATTTTTGATAATATTTTAGTATTGGATTTATTGCGATTGTTTTTATAATACATATTGCTATTAGATTAATAACGTTTGTGTATAATTTATAGTAGTTATATTTAATGAAATAATTAAAATATATAACATAGAAAATATAAAATTAAATAAACAAGTTTAAAGTTCATCTAATAAGCATATGCTTATATGCAGATGAGCTGAGTTAAAATTAAAAGTTAATTAAAAAACAATATTTTACGGACAGTCACAATACATTAATTTTATACACGTGCAAGATAAATATAAATTTTTTTAACGATTAGATTTTATCCGAACTTGAATTTCAGCTGTATTTATAGCCTAGTGTCTACTGGCTTATGCGCTTTATAGATAAATAAATTATGTGTGTTTGCAAGCTAAAAGTGTAAATAATCAAGTCGTTAGTTATCCAGGAAATAAAAAACTGTAGGTGCTTATTGAAAAGAACATTTTTCTGTCCTATATTTTAATACTTTTTTTGTAGACTACTTTTTCGAGGAAATATTTATAAAACTCGTATAATTATTTGCAAAACTAAACAAGAATAGATGGAAATCTAACCTTTGTCTTTATGCTCAAGCCGTTATTACTCTTACCAATTTATAACTTCAACGTATATTTTATTTTTTGTAATGTCCAAAAAGAAGTGTGTTGATTAAATCCATTATTTAAGATGGATTTTGTAGGATATAAGGCAACAGAATATAAAACGATTTCGAACAGATGGAATCGATTTGTTTAACACATTCATTATAATTAAACCTACTGACGATAATAATAATATATTATGTGGTCACATAAAAAAAAAAATATATCTGATTGATTGATATATAAAGTATATACTTACTTTTTAGTAGGCGCGGCGACAAATTATTTTTATAGTGAATTATTCGGATGTAAACTCCCGAATGGCTGTAAAATTAAATGATCAATAACGTCCTTGCGTTGTGCGTCCGATCAAATATTTTGTTAAAATGTATGTTAATATAAAACCCAAATGCTTAAATACATTTAGTTAATCGATATTTAAAATGAGAGTCTAATGGCAGCCGTGAACCAGACGATGATCACATATTGGAAACGTAAGGATATAATATAATAATAATAATAATTGCTATTATAATAATGATCATTATGAATATTAGGAATAACGAAAATTCCAACTATGTACGTTTAACTTGAGGTTCACAGAGTGCAGAACTGAATAAATTCGTTACGAATTGAGGAATTTCCGCTTTCGTCAGTTGTATACTTTTAATACCTACCGTTTGTCATCGTAATTAATTTATAAGAAATATGTTATATTATGTATAGTAACGAAGTAGATTTTTCACATATTGTTAGGATGAAAAATAATATGTTTTGAACAAAACGAAGATCTTGTAGGTTTTGAAATTCTGTGAGTCCTTTTTTTTTTTTTATTGCGGAAAATTCCTAGGAACTCTATCGTTCAACCGGAAATCATCGCACACATGGTCGACGAAAGAGGTCATGTTCGGAATTTTTTTTTTTTTGCTTTTTAGACACATTTCGAAATCTATTTGAGATCCCCGAGTAAGTGTACTGTATAACTTATGGTACAACGGTTACGAAATAAATGTTTATTATAAATTTTTTGTACAATACTAGAGTTTTGTCATTTTCTCGTATGTTCATTCTCAGATATTACCTACATTAACATGATACAATTTAATGTCAACGATTCTTAATTATATTTTTACTGTTGCTTGACTTAATATTGTATGGTTCTATATTTTTATATTGATTTGATTATGCTTCCATAATAACCCAAAACAAGAAATTTTCAATTTCAAATTAATCATATTATCTACATATAATTCCACTCAGGATCCTTTTGAATCTTTAAATGTTATTCATCTTCTGTATCTCATCATTTTATCGTTCATTGACTCATCAGTTTCCTGTTGATCTGCTAAATTAGCATTTTTTTTTCATTTCTTGATTATTAGTGATAAAATAGTATAAAAAAACAACATCTTATCCTAGATATGATGCTATTACACTTTATTTTTATTTGCATACAATTTATATTTATATCTATATATTCATTTACTATCAAATATAATTCGGGCCGAAATTATGCTTTTGATTTTATATTTACTATTTTATATGTATCAAATACATTTAATAACATTTTATAATAATACTTTTTTATGATGATAATTATTATATTTCGGCTGTGAGTTTTAAATTGAGTGATTTAGACTGATGCAATAAGTCATATCTGACATTTCATGATGATATAGTATAACATCATAGTAATATACTATAAACTATTGTTAAGTAAGTCCTTAAATTTACGCTGCTGTGCTCTATATAGCTGAACAAAGTTTTTTGGTGATATGGAGTGGTATTAAGTTCAAGATCAGAAGTTTGATGCCTCTTGTATTTCAGAATTATTAATACTATATTTTGGAGTCAATTAAATTTAAATTAATTTATTAAATATATTTGTAGTCAATGTTTCGAGTTTAGGTAAAATTAAGTAAAAATCTCAAAGCCACTACTTTAAAACTGCATTCCTACTGAAACATTATTTAATACAGATTAGTAGGGAGCTTCACCCTTTATCCAATTACTATTCCAATAATTTCCATTGGTGCTATTAACTTTAATTTGATACAATAAATTAACATAAAAAAAAATTTATACTTACGTTGAAATACTTTACATACATATTTATCTACAACAATTATATAAATGGTAAACTATTGTTAAATTGGACGAAAATTAATTGCTTAATAATCAAAATTTGAGTAAATTTAAAAATTGTGATGCTTTATTTAAGTTTTTTTTTTGTGTATTTACGAATCTTAATATAATTTAATAGAATGGAATCCTTATTCTTTATAAAATGAATTACGAAAAAAAGTTCGGACACTCGATACATTGATGTAGTAGAAAAAATTTGAATATTGCTTATAATGTAACCTATTTTTGAATACTACAGACATTTTAAGGATTGAAAAATATAGGTTCTCAATATTTATAAATAAATTTGGAATTAACATGCCGAAACGTACTACTATTTTTTATTTTATAAGTTTTTTGAAAAACTATGATATACTCAAAGGTAAAACTCACTTTCTTTAAAAATTAAAGTAAACTAAAATATTTTTCACAATCAAGTGAAAATTTACTCTATAAATCAGAAATATCTTTAGTTTGAAACAATGCTTTTAAATATGTTACTAAAGAGAAATTATCAATATTTTTCATAATTAGTTGAGTTAAAAATTAATTTCTATTTACTAAATTGAAGTTATAATAATAGATGAGCCAAGTTACTCATAATTATATTTTAACAATGCACTTATGTTTATTGATAACGATAAATTAATTATTATGTACATTTTTGAATCAATAGTCAAACAATTCACATAAAAAATTCACATAAAGATAATATTTTTGATACTGAAAAATTACTTACCAAGTTATCAACGGTACAAAATACTTTTATGATCTTATAAAGAAATAATTTTAATATTTTCGACATTTATGTATTTTTTTTTTTTTTTTTAAAAAAAGGTTAACGGTTATTGTCCTTTTGGACAAACTTTAAGTTTAAGTTATATAACGGTTATTGTCAAAATTAAAGGTAAAATAAAAAGGTCAATGAAATATTTTTGTTAAAAAGTATTCATTATTTAATAATACGAACTATTATTATTTTTATTTTTTGAACGAATAGCCTATACGGTTATGAGAGCTCAATGTCTACTATCTCAGTACTGAAGTGGAGTGGTCGATAATTGCATAACCCTTATTTCATTGGCAAATGTTCAGTATTATGTGTACTGCATGAAAATGACACGTGCAAACGATTTTGTGGCTTTCGCATTGTGTCGGATACCATTGATAACTGATTGCCGAGTGCTATCGCAAAAAAAAAGCGTGGATCTTTTACGATCACAGTTTGCTGTATTTGTACACGCTGCGTATACATAATATTAAATAGCCCCTTGGATAAAAATACTTTGTTCGGAAAAGTTAAAAACAAAAGAAAAAAACACACATAATATTTGCATAAAGGCTATCACTTTCCTTTTACACTCGAATTTAATAGCGTAATATGTTTTACTCAAATACATAATTTTCACGGAAATGACGAAAACATAATAACGCTTGTAAACCATATTATGAATTATTTCCGAGCCATTCAGCTGCACACTACTAAAACTCTAAAGGATAAATCAATAAAAACTGAACGGTTTGTTTTAAGAAAATATGGAGTTTTTTCGTTGTTCAATTTTTATATTGTCAAATTTTGAATGGTTGCAGGTTCTAAAGTAAAGTATGTTCACCCTGTGCATATTGCAAGTAGGATGGTTAATTATGGTATAATAAAAGTAGCATTTCTTCTCGAATATGCGTATCAAACAATCGTGCAAGTGACAAAATGGAAAAGTAAATTAAATAAATATTTTTTATCGTAGCAAATAAGATAGATGATCCGTTGTTAACATTAATTATTGAATTCATTATTTTTATAAATACCTTGTAACTACGTGTACACCAAAATGTTTTCAACTTTGATTTACGAACTCCTATATGGATCATAAAGTATATTAGAGGGCGTCCGTAAACTTATGTCCAAAAAAGAAGAAAATTAAGAAAACAATTTATTTTTCTTATTAATTTTGTATAATGTTACATGCATTTAGTACATTAAGTTAAAAAAATAAAAAAATAAAGTTTTTGTATTATATTATTATTTATTTCTTCTTATATTTTATTTTTATTAACAGGTCCGCTGACATTTATCATATATATAAGAAATCTCCCGAAAAATAAGTCTAGAATACGCTATTATATGCATGTATAATTTATCATATCCAATTAATATAACCGGAGGAGCGACTATATTTCCATAGAGTAAATGTTGTTAATTTTCAAATGATCCTCTGATGTACTACGATTGACCATATAATATTACTATTATTAAATAATTATAATGTAGCCAAAGCTCGAAATAGTTAAACATTATTTAATAATAACGTCATAATTTTAAATAAAGTGATTTGTGGTTTTGTGGTGATTTTGATCTATAATTCTACTTAACTTATTCGAATAACGGAAAACAACTTCTTCTAATAAGAAGTAACAAATTAATCGATTCATTAAAACGTATTTGTTAGTTGTTAGTGGATAAATGTTACGTTTCACTTGCCACCAATTACGGTCCATCTCGGCAATCGATAGTAGAATAGCACAAAATATAATAATAATAACGTATACGAGCGTTTTATTGTCGGTTTATCGTATCGTGCACTTACGTTGGAAATTTCGGTTATAACGGTTTGTATCCCTCGTTTGTAACACGACGATTTGAAATCGTGGTTTTGCATTTATGCAAATCGGCGGGTTATTATTATTGGATTTGCTCAGCAAATCGTAATTATCTTTAGCCGGATTGCAGTTGTTTCTATGCTTGTGAGCTGTGACTGTGGACGTGTTCGGCATACATAACAGCCGTGGCCCGAAATTTTAATACCCGACGGAATTCGTTGATAATAAAACGTCTAGACTCTAAAATCAGTAATTATATTTTTTTTCCCTACCTAGTTAATTGTGTTTAAATATTAGTACGGTGATGATCGGTTATCGGTTAATCGTTACGTATTCATTTTTTTTTTCTAGTAACTTTTCATTAAAAAAATCGAATGCAAGTTCTAGAGCATTGTTAAAATATATATTTTAATCCTTCTGTGCAATACGAAATTCAAATATTTTTCATAATAAAATGATTTTTTTTTTTTTTTAAAGTTCGTATTATTTCGTGAAATAGTTAAATCTTATAAAATAAATCATAGTAAAAACAATTTCTTATCCTTAGGCTGTTGAAATTAAAAAATAAATATATATATTTATTTAATTTTATTTCCTATGTACTACATTGATTAATTAGTACTTTTATATTTTTTGCGTCCCATTCAATTATTAATAAATAAAATAAAATTGATGTAAAATAATTAAAAATTCATTTATGTGGATTCTACCAAAAATATCAATTTAATGCAATCAATTATGTCATTCATTTAATACACAAATATATTAGTATAAAAGTCAACGATTAAGTAATATTTTATAATTTTAGTAATACTTTACAATAATTGCAACTGTCTGAAACTGAATTTTTTTTTAAATTTAATAAGTTAGATCAAATATTTAATTTATTGATATTAAAATAATATCTTCGTATTTGTATGAAGAAATAGTTAGATAAAATTAAATGTATTCGTGTCTTTTTATTTGGTATTCAAATATCGTTGTAAAATACTTTACAAAAATAAAGCTTTCGACTCCTTCTTTACGCTGATGATATTGTGTTATTTTCTTCTAACAAATTTCTTGAAAGTTTCGTTGATACCTTAAACAATGAAACAATGACTTAAGTACACTCATATCCAAACTCTCTGACGCGTTCTTTACCATTGCTCCAGAGAAGGTTCACTATATGTTTTTCATTAGCAGGCAATTAGTTATTCATCCTCATATCATACTCGACACCAAATTATTTTTCACTCATTCTCTGTCATTTACCTTGGCATCAAACTCTACCCCAAATTGAGATAAGTTCCTCACTTGAATTTCCTCAAAGGTATAATTTTTCTTTGGCCAATTTTCTCCGGACCACAACTGACACTAGTTGATGGTCACATCATTCTAGCCTCATAAAAATATTTAACGTAGTCATCATAGCTTAATCTAACTATGGATCATTCCTTTATGCCTCTGCCTCTCTTACTCACTGGAAAAAAATCAATTTCATTCTAGCTTCTTGTCTTCGTACGATCATTGAGGCACTCATCCCCTCTAATTAGATTAGTGGTGGAATGTTCTTGTTCTCCAAACGAACTAAGAAGTCGGCACCTTGTTGGGAAGTTTCTTATAAAATACTTATCCTCACTTAATCAATCCCTCTTCAACACTTTTGTTTCTATCAATACTTCTTGGACTTACACTAAAACGCTTCTCATATTAGCCTCTGTCACTTATTCTTCTACGAATTTTACCCCATTCATTTATTGCTCAGGCCTATGGTTGCAATTGTACGACACTCCGTTGTACTTAACATTAATTCATATCCTTTAAGTAACCGTCTCTCCTTATTTCCTCGGTTACTCCTCAAGTGAACTATCTTGCCTCCCAAACTCCCTCATTGATTATTTGTTTAACAATTTTGTCCTACTCAATTTCCCACGCTTTCTATTAGTCTTCACAGATGGCTCTGTTTTATCTGGCTCGACTGGCTTCTCCTTCTTTATTCCTAATCTAAATATTTCCATTTCTGAAAAATTGAACTCTCTCACATCATCCTTTACCACCGAATGTTATGTAATAATTAATGCTCTTCAGTACATCTTCACTCTTGATACCAAAAAATTCCTCATTATCTCTGACTCACAGGCTTGCCTCCTCGCTCTTTCCTCAAACTCATTCAAGCCCTCTCTTTTTTTCTTAATTCTCATCATCACATCCCTAATTTTTTTGAATTAGCCTCAATGATAAGATCGTCAATTTTTATTGGTTCCCAATCATGTTAGTATAACCGGCAACGAGCGATCTGATCACCTGGACTTCTCCACACATTTTTCTATTCCTAAAATTCCTAAAGTCCTGCTTCGATCTCCTTTCTATCAATCGTACGTTCCTCTGCAATACTTGGTAATCTGTTTGGTTCTCCTTACCTCATAAATTCGCCTCATGGCACAGATATTTTGTCCCTATAATACCTGAGTTTCCATAGTTCAGGAAACTTAACATTTCTAGTCGTCTGATCGTAGGATTTAATCTTCTCCGTATTGAGCACAGTGTCCTCCCCACCATTCTTCTAAGCTTTCCCTTAATTCTTCTCCACTCTGTATTAGTACTCAAGAAGAATTAATATGCGATTTTAACCACAATATAATATATTATTAAATATTATTTAACTGCCCTTTCCTTCTTTCTAGTAGACAACTTCTTTTTTCATTCTTATCTTCCTTTGGCTATATAACTTCCGACTCTAACCTTCTCCTCAACTCTCACTCCATTCATATCATTTATTTCATCATTAATTTCATCAAATCCTCCAGCTACCTTATTTTATTGTTTACATAAATATTTTTATTTGTTCATTTATTTCTATTTATTTTTATTTTTTATATTTTACCTTATTTTTAAAAATATTATTAACTAGGTACTTAAATTCTATGTATAGTTAATCTAATTGCATTCTGTAATGTTTACGATAAAGGCAAATTAAAAAAATAAAATAAAAATCTTTTGATATCAATATTTTGTTTGATAAAACTAAATTATTTTTTCTTTATATAACATGTTTTTATGACTAAGAACACATAATCATAATAACTAAATATTTATATATGGAAATATTTTATTAGTTAATACATCATTATTAAAATATATAAAAAAAGTAATAACAATAATATGTTTATACAAATGCTGTAAATATTTTAAGATTATTACAGATGATCATATTTTTTAAATTGTTATAATATTGACAGTATTTATTTGTAAATGGAGTGTTTAACGTACATGAAAGACAAAATAATTATATATTGATGTACTTTTATTTTTATTTTACCACACTTCATATATATATACATGAACGAGAAGATTCGATTGGTTATTCACATTATTGAATAATAATATTTGTTTGTATTTCATGTGATGCGTACTCAGGATGATTTGATTTTATCAGTATTGTCCATTTCATCAACTTGTTTCACTTTACTTATGTTGTGTCTTACGTCGAGCTTAACAATTTTATTCGTTATATTTTTATTATAAGCGGTCTTATAGAAATCCATGAACAAATAGATGAAGGCAAACAGATCGATAATCAATATGGACGATAATACTCTTGGCATGTTGCAATCATATTTGTATAAAAACACCAAGTAAGTCACTGCGATAAACAATTGGGTCTAGAAAAAAAATATTAAAACAATAATTATCATACACGGTTTTCATTTTTGTTACCGTTTTAAAATGTTCGGTTAGGTTCGCTATATCGGTTACTAACAATTTGCAATCGAGTCACATACACTTTCCACCATAGATATTTTTGCATGAACGGTCCGAGAGCGGCTAAAAAGTAATAACCATACATGGCTATGTGAACAGCTGAATTGAGCATTGCACCGTAAGCAGCATGTTCGGCTACAAATAATAATACAATATCAAAAATAATTGTAAATTATATAGTTCAGTCGAATTTATGGAATATGCTACGAATGTTTTTAAAGCAGACGAATTATTATTGTGTGCGAGTACAAGACGTTGAACAATTGATTTCAATTATACGAATACAAACAGGACACTTAGTATTTATGATACACTGCAATGTTTAATATCTTTATTGGATTAATTTTCCGATAGAATTTCAACGTTAACTTAAAACGTTAACGGCTCATACATTTGTCAGTTGATAATAAGTAGGCAAATAGATAGTAAATATAAAATAAGTTAATTAAATTAAATAAGTCCGATAAAAGTGCTTGTATACAATAAATTATAGTACGTATGAAATATTATGCGTAAATAGGAATTTCAAAGTATTATTTTTTCTTTTTATCGTTATTAGTAGCATCGTTTGGTCAGGATTGGTTTTGAGTCGGCCATGTAAATCGGTGAGACCCAATTCATTTAATACTAAATTAAAAATCCTTTGAAGTGTTTTATGATTCTTTTTATTGTCCTCACTATCAATTGCGCAGTCCTTTATTAGTGCCCAGTGGCGTACTAATAATTTCTAACTGGAGAAAAAATTGAAATACGTACGGATTTAAAAAAATAATTCCTTAGATTACACTCTTCAAGCGTTTTTATATCCCATAAATATAATATTATGATTTAACTGTTTGACAGAAGTGATAATGTAGGTAATTATTTTTATTTATTATTTTTTTATTTTCTGATCAATTCTGTAAAAAATATTTTCAACATATTTGAATACAAATACAGTTGAGTCGCGATAACTTGAAGTTGAAGGGGGATAAAAATTCACTTCGAGATATGTATTATTCGAGATTTCTAACTAATTTATAGGGAAAGAATTTTCTAGGGGAATAAAACACAATTCGAGTTGTCAAGTTTTTCGAGTTACCGAGGTTCGAATTATCGCGACTTGACTGTATTATGTTATTTGATATAAAAATGTATATTTTTATTCAGAATTTATATGATTCGCTCGTATCAACTAAAACACAAAATTATAGTCACGTAATATTATAATCTATTTTGCTCACATAAAATATGTTTTATATTTACAGATAAAGGGGTTCGTCTGATCCATCAATAGTACGCCACTGCTCATTATTATGCTTCAAAATTTTTATTCAGTAGAGAAAATTAAATTTTATTACTTAAGATTATTTTATTTTGTTTTACGAAACCACTTGGCCAACAATATAAAAAAAAATTATTTTCTTTAAGTCAGCATTTTAATTTTTAATATTAAGTTATAAATTATCCAATTACTGCTGAAAAACTCAAACATGTATAATTTAGCGGGTACCGTAATCAAATATTACTTTATAATATATTGAGTTTGTTGTTATGCATTTAGTATACAAATGAGTATTTGTTGATTTCAATTGTACAAACCACGAAGTACTATTATAAAAATAAGATTTATAGCACAGATTAGCATATAATAATATTTACTTTTAAAGTATCGAATATGCAGCCAACACGTCATTACCATTTTTGTATGGTGATAAACATGCAAGAACGATACATGGGATTGTTTTTTCCTCAAAACGAAAAACACCTGCAGCAAAACAAGGGGGGTCTAAATAATCGATTATTTAATACAGTTGCGATAAAATGGTTTGGAAATAAAATCGTGTTATTCGTTTATTGTACTGTAGACGAACTTACGGTGTCCAATAAATCAATGATCTTCGATATAAAGTAGAACCATGAAACAGTGTGCAGCTGCGGGAATAATAAATGATTATGAATTAGTATATGGTTTATTCAGGGGTGATATAGATACGCAGCAGCGAAATAATTCGTCGCGCCTATTTGTCGTAATTTCTATAGCATGCGCTATGCCTGTGCTTGGATGTCAGTGGCCTGTTATTGTGGACTTATGGATTTATACACGATTTTTAGCGTGGAAAACGGTGCACCAAGTCGTAAGCATTGGTCTTGCGATAGAGTTATTAGATAGTAAATAAATAAAAACGTATTGTACAATCGACATTTATTTATTTGTACTTAAAGTCGACTTCGAGATGAAAATATTAAGCGTAATGCACGGAAGGCGTTTCATATCAAAAAAATGTAATAAACACGTGGCTCTATAAAATATTTACTGAGCATCTTACGCGTCGGCTCGTGACCAGCACAATTGAAAAATAATGAAACCAATATTTACGTCGGAGACGACCGGTTTTGCTATATAGCCAACGACTTTCTGAAAGTAATTGGCATTCGAGCATTTTATTTACAATTTAACAGTACAACGAAGTTTCCGTATTGACTGTAGTCATTTGGACGAGTTTAAACGTACATAAATATTTATGAGAATGGGAAGCAGACGGGGAAAGTTGCCGTTGAAATAAACCGACGAAAAGTAACTTGTATACACCTACTCGAAATTAACTCGTCTCGTTGTTTCTCGTGTTTACATAACCACCGACCACCCGATACTAACGCTGTGCACCGGACTTTTCGCGCGTTATTATCATTGTTATTGTTATTATTATTATTATTATTAAGATATGCTTTCCGGTTTTCGTACAACGCATATTATGTCGCATTAACATATCGAACCACCCCATTGTGCAATGTCATATTCCGTAGATATTCAAGTGATGTTTCATAGGAACATGTAACATCACATTTTAAGTTTTATTAATGTAGTTAAAATATGTATGTGATTGCTAATGCTCATAACCGCTGTCATTCAGGCAATATGGTGGAGATGTTTTAAAATAACATCAAAGTAATATTACCAAATTACATGAGAAGGAATGTAATTTCATAGCGATGTTGCTACAACATTGTAATATGATATTTAAAGAGCTAAATCTACTATAAAATTAAATAAAAAGAAAACTTTTATCGCACTAATCGTTCGTCGCCGAGATTCGATCTTACCCTACCTAACTTATCCTAACGTATTAATGGGGGACGCCTAACATACTGAGCTACTACTAACTATTTACTATAGAACGAGAAAATAGTCATTTGAAATACCTGATTTATTAATTATTGTATTCAATGTTATTTAATGTAGGTACATTTTTATCTGTATTAAAGATAAATCGTTATTCAATCAATAATAGGTAATATTGAAGAAATAGGTTGTTGAGGAATAAATAATAACATAGTTATATAATTTATAATTTTTATTAACCACAAATACGCATTAATTTATAGTATTGTAGTCTGTAATAGTAAAACAAAACACATTTTTACAATTTTTCTTCTGGATTTAAAACTTTATTTTGTACGTATTTTCAAATATAATATAATATATCAGTTTTATACATCTTTTTAAATTTTTTCAAAAAATGAATATGTCAATTCCATTACAATAGCTTTACTTAAATTAATGGGAATAAGGAAACATTTATTTTTTATATCGCTTATGTTTATAGAAAAACATTCTGAAAAATTCAAATTATCAACTATGTATGAACCTACAATTGAAGAATCAAGAGGGTTAAAATAAAATGGTGAACAGTTTGAAAATGATTGCACTATTTATTTAAGATAATTTTCATTATGGTGTTTTCATATATATTTGACTTTAACAATAAAATTATTCCTTAAGCTTCCATATTTATCATTTTCGTTTATAATATTTATTTTCATTCCTAAATCATTTAAAATAATTTCTTTGAAAAGCTTATCTGTTATGTTATAATGTACTGAAGGTGTGCGATTTTCTATTTCTTTTTTAATAATATAATATTGTGGTTGAAGAGATTTTGCTATAAACAATTTTTGTTTTTCAATAATCCTATAATAAATTTCTCTAAGACGATATTTAGAACATTTTTTTGATATTTTCAATTCCTGTAAGTAATTTTCATACTTGAAACAACTGAAGTTGTCTAATGGACAATGTATGGGAAGATGTAATAAGCTGTGAACATTGTATGATATTAAATGATCTCCGTATAACGTTGAATATTGAGAAATAAATTGTTTGAAAAATATCTCAGCCAATTCTTTATGAATTTGGCATGTAACATTATTAATTAATAGTTTAACACCAGCAACTAATAACATGAAATGTGTATAAAATGATTTTTTTAATTTTCCTTTTAAGACTACTTGATCAGAGTAAAATAAGAAAAACCTTAACTCCGTACACGAGACACACACGAGAGTTTACAGTTGCTAGTCAACCGAGGTCGTCACACGTCGTCTAATAACAATAACTATTGAAAGCGTACAAACCCCCAGAAAAAGTATATAAATATATATTTCTATAAAACAATTGTAGAATAACATCGCATTTGTGTTAATTTGTATTTGTGGCATCTGAGTAAATTTTAAACAGGTATACAATGTTTTTCAGTAACTTATGAGACATTATTTCTAGGCAACCCACATGCAATATCACATAAATATTATTTGGAAATATTTTCTATGAAACACAAATTTAACATAGAGGCGATGTTATGTAACTTTTCTTGCAAACTGGGACAACACACGTACACGTTTAATTCGAGCAAAAATAACATTAGATCTCGTGCCTAGTGCGATATACATTCGACTCGCGGGCCTTTCGAACTATAACCACGGCTTCCGTCGGCTCTTAATGATATTTCAATCATTGCCGCACAAGGATCAAAGACACAACAGTTTTACTCCATACTTATCACGTTTCTCGCCTAACCTTTGCGATCATACACCTCGTGATATTTTATTTTAACCATGGTTTTCCATGGACTTGTATTTAAATTACATTATATGTTTTGATAATTGACCTAATAAAAAGTTTTTCTATGTTATTGGATCTTCAAGTAAGCAAACACCATATTAATTTCTTAAAAGACATATTTTATGTATACAATAATACACTAGTCACAGAAATGAATGTGCTAAAACATACTTACTGCTGATGTACTAAATGATAAAAATATTGAAAAATAGGTTAAATGGCTGTCAGAACCTTGTTGTAGAGGAGAAACTAAATATTTAAAATTTTTCAAAATACTAAGAGTTAGTACATAACATCAATGTAGATGAAGTGATTGAGCATTTAAAACTGTAACTCCTAATAATAGAAGAATGGAATTATGAACTATGTTTTGTTATAATTTTTATAACCAAATAATAATAAATATAACTACAAAAAAAATTTGACTCTTGAGTTACTAATGCCACTTCCCCCCTTAAAAATATGCCCTTGTGCTGATTCGAAATTGGATTGGCCTATTTTAATACTAAGGTCTGTACACGCCTATGGCCATAAATCGGCGTGTGACCACCAGAATTCGCGCAGAATCTGAAGACCGAAAACTGAAATCCCACTGAATTATATGGGTTCAGAACTTCGGCGTGCGTTTGTATTTCTTATGAAAATACTTGAAGTTTGAACCAGAATGAAATAAAATTAGTAGCTTGGTTGAATTGGTGGAAAATAGGGTAGAGGGAGGCGTATTAGGGTTCGTTGCAATCGCGAAATATATATCCGAAAACACTGATAGAATATAATAAAATTATTTATTTTATTATTTATAGGATCATAATTTCGTTTTTCAGAATATATTTGGAATATCATTCATACTTAAATACATTTTTAACATTGTGTAGGATTTATGAATATAACATTTGTATTAGTGCGATCATAAGTCGGTTACAAACTATATACTTTCTGATGTCTTTATTCATTCATGTATACAATGACGTACTATTATTTATTCATTATAAATAATACAAGCCATGAATATGATTGAAAATACGATAAACGATCAAATTAATACGATAAAGTTAATGTAAATTATTTCGATGATTTAAAATAAGAATACACTGACTTTTTTTCAAAACATAAGATAAACTTCTGAAAAATTTGAGTCAATCATTTTAAGAAGATTTATTTGTTACATTTGAAACGTTTTCTTGAAGTATTAAGTTTAAAAATAAACGACAGGAAATATTTTCAAGGACTTTTGTTAGTTCTATGGTGATATGAGGTTGGATAGGAGGATGGAGATTTGGTATCGAACGTGAACGGACAGTAGCCTACAAAAAGGATAAGTTGAATAAAAATCCACATGATTAGGTTTGATCTGTCAGAATGTAATTGACCAATATAAAAGTGCAGCGAGCACGTTTATCACGAGTCAAAGATTTATTGATCGGAAATCGAAGAATTTCTATCACCTGGTACAATTGCAGCTGGACATTAGAAAGTTAGTCATGGCGCAGAAGACGCCGAAGGAGTGGTGAGTGAAAATGGTTCTGCAGCGTTGAGAGAAATCGAATATAAAAACCCATTAACTTTTCTAGTACCCTTTTATGTGCGCGTATGTGTGTGTGTACATATGCGCGCGTGTATCACGAAGACCGATTAAAAACAGGATTGTGAAAAATATGTATTCATTTATCTTTAAGGATATCGACTTCAGACGAAAAGTTTTACTTATCTCATGACAAGGGAATAATAGATAATTTTATCATAATATTAAGTCATGTGGAAGTACACAATAACTAATATCAAAGTATATATGTCAAATACTTGTGTTTAATCAGTTCGTGTTAATTATCAACACAGTTGACCAATAATTCTTAATTTTTTTTTTAATAATCCGATCAAAGTATACTTACACATTTTATTAGATACTTTTCATGTGGGGTTTCTCTGGTTATAGTACATAGATTGAAAAATATAAACTTTGGTATTCCGGGTGTCAAAATTATCTGAAATTAAAAAAAAAAAATGTAAACGTTTAATAAAACTTAAAAATGTATTATTCTAATAACAAATTTTAATGTGATGACAAATATTATTATTTAATAAAATATGTCGTCTCTGGACTATGTCGTTTACGTTTTTCAGTTTTATAACCTTAAGCAAAGAAAAGAGATAGTTTAATTTATAGTATTTCTACATTGACTTGTGTTACTAAGCATATGGTGTAAGAATAAGTGTCATTTAAATCTTTCTGGTAAAAACATTATTTTTGGTTTAAATTTTTTTTATTAAAATTTACGTCATATTGGTTGTACAAATAGTAAAATCACAGTTAGGAATGTTAATTATATTTTATTGTTGGACCCAGAAGAAATTATTGTTTTCAGAAATACTAACTGAGCATAACTATTATAAGTGAATGGAACGCATAAATTAAAAATTAATATTTTTTCGCGTTATTATAATAGTTTTAAATTTCTTCTCTCAGTGTTTTATAATAAATTATAGATATAACAGATGCTAATCTATATCGTACTATTAATTAATTCTTTTGTCATTTAAATTGATTATTTTTTTGTTTGAATGATAATCTACACAAACGAGCGTACAAATACAATTGCAAAATGGGTAATTAAAAATATGCGATTTTTTACTTAACTTCCGTGCAATTGAAGGCAACGCCCTGTACGTTTGTTGTTTTTAATTAGTTAAAATATTTCACACATAAAAACACATTTATACAAATATATTTATATATTCTAACTGTAATCTATGTTATTAAATATATATCGCGTATATGAACTTGAAATACAAACGTCCATCTCCAAAAATTATATTTGTGATATTATAATTAATAATTAATGTAAAAAGAAAAAAATCAGAATAGTTAATATTGTTGATTATTGCATTACAGGTGTTTACAACAAATATGGAATATGCAAAGCTTATCGTTTTAAAATGTGTATGAGTCCGTTCTATATTATAGCTATATATATTTAAAGGAACACTAGGATTTTGCGGTTTGCAAACATCTCTCTTACTATTTTTTTCACCCGTCATCTGTATATAATAATGTCGTATAATATTAATTTTACGGTTGTTTTGGTTGTTTTATTGTTATTATTGGATTTAAAACGTTTATAACAATGTTTGTAGGATTTAATTTTACGAGGGAAAATATTAATGATATAAAATTGTTACGATACTATTTATGTTGCTATGCTTTATACGATTGTACGTTACATCTTCAGTAATTTTAAAACGATTCAAAATAGTTCTTATGTGTGTCTTAACTGTACCCTAAACGCACTGTGTCACATTGTTATTAAAATCGTATTATAAAACTTTTGAAATAAAACAGTCAAGTTGTATATTCAAAATATTATCGGTGTTTCTGTAAGACATGAGCTTACCCATAAACAAAGCAGACTGTTGTACAAGAACTGCAAGAAGTTGAAAATCAGAATGATGTTCGTAATATTGTACGGCTCTCGATTTTCCATCATTTTCGGACCGATTTTCTTCACGAACAATAAGTATACTATGATTATCATGACCACTGGCCAAGGGTTGCTTACCAAAAGCCACGAATCGATCTCTTCGTCTATTAACAATAATTTATTATTTATAATTCGATTTTTTTATCAAAAGACGTGTTGCGAGCTATACATTGTAAAATATGATGATGTTATGATTGAAACCTAATCGTTAGTTATATATGTTCTCAAGTTGATTCCCTCGAAATAATCTATAAGATTCTGTGATAAATACTATTTTATACTAGAGTGCTGTTGTGATGATATCTACTATACAATTTAATTATTGTGCGAAACAAATATTGCTTACCGTATTTGACTTCGCGTTCCACGATCTCCTTGATATAATGTTTTGTCTGATTTATGTAGTGAAGTATATTATAATTTTTTGTGTCGGTCATCATCAAGGTATTTACTTTGAATGAATAAAATCGAATTTCATAAGTTTGGTTCCTTGTACGAGTAGAAAAAATATATTTACATCAATAAATTAACATTACGTAACAGTTTAATATAGGTTAATTGGATTATATATTTTTTTAAATTTCGTCCAAAAATCTTATAATAACTGAGTAAACACAAAATCAGATTGTTATTACACAGTTTAAAATAATGCAGATAAGATATTTTACGAATAATTTTGTACGGTCAGTTCGTGTTTAGTCGTCGATGAGACCACACGTTAATTTACACGCGCCGTTTTATAGCTCCCGATAGCATTATCGTCTGATTAAGACGCGCCGCTTCAAATCGGTAATGTATAATAATATTTTGTTATCGTATAAAGCCCACTAATGTCGGTGTCCCAGCGGTTTAGGCCTGCAAGCAACTCACTATCCAGTCGTTACCTATATTGATATGGCTTCGGCCGACAAACCATTATCTAAGAAAACGATTCCACCACTAAAATTAACCAATTCAAATAAAGCTTCTAGGGGAGAAACATCTCTATCGGACTCCAATAGTTATATCTGGCAAGCAGTCGAATCAAACAATAAACTTATGAGATCCCTTAATGTAGCCTCACCTTCTTCAAAGAAAACCGATCCAAATATATTTATTTCTCTAAATCGATTCTCTCCAATCGCTCCTATTATCGAAGATGACCAAATGGACAACACAAATGAAAACGAAAATGCTTGGGGGAAAAAAAAAATCAATCGTCTAAGCCACTTCCAATCTTTATACATACACAATTAAATATCAACATATTTTATACGAAAATGAAAGAACTAATTGATTCCTCGGGATTTGAATGCCATAGCTCTATCACAATCTAAAAACAATAATTGGAATAATAAAAACCAATATTCTAAAACTTCAAACGTTATTAATCAAGAACTTCCTCATCCAAATTTCTCTCAGAATTTTCCTTCTCTGAACAGTGAATCTCCCCCCACTCCAAAACCAATAACCCAAATCCTAACCAAGATCTCACAACATAACTGTCATTATTTATAAATGATCTAAAAGCATTAATTAATCCACTCGTTTCAGTCCTTACTACTGTCATCGAAAAACTAATAAAAAATATCAATTAATAATATAAAACCACTAACCATATTCTTATGGAAAGCTAGATTTTCTTCAACATCTAAATGAACTCCAAATCGTACTTAATGAGAAAAAAATTAAAATAGCACTTATTTTGGAAACTCATCTCACGAAATCTTCCCCACCCAAAATATTCGAATATGAAATAATTAGAGCAGATTATCTAGACGGAACAACACATGGCGGAGCTGCACTCATTAACTCCAGACAAATAAAACACTCCCCTCTATCATCAATTAGAAGCAGCAATATTCAATCAGCTAGCACAACCTTAAAAATAAACTCTGTGCTTATCTCGATATCATCCTGTTATTTCCCCCCAGGAATAACATTTCCTACACCTGAACTTATCATCCTTCTTCAATCTTTCAACCATAGCTATATAATAGGTACGGACTTCAATGCCAAACATCAAACCTGGAGCCGTTCTACTAACACTAGAGACCGTGCGTTTCACAACCTTATTACGCAAAAACATCTTAAAGTATTAACAAGCCCCACTCTGACCTATTGGCTATCTCATGCTAAACATTATCCAAATACGATTGACTTCTTTATTTCCAGCATGCCAAACTGTTTCATAACTTACATTACAAATTTAAACGATTCAGCTTTACCCCAGTTTTACTTCATATAGGAGCTCAACCCATACTCAAACAAAATCTACCAACCATCACTCCTGGATTCGTAAACTGGAGTCAATTCAGAGACATACTAGTTGAAAAAAAAATACTTAATATTAAATTAAAATCGTCTGCTCACATTGATAGCGCAATCAATTAACTTACCAATAACATTCAGATTTTAGCTAAAGAGTCCTCAACACCGAGGTCAATCAACAATTTACCATCTAACCTAACTCCAGAATTAAAGCAACTTTTAGCTGAGAAACGAAGAGCAATATCGATATGGCAACGAACTCACTATTCTGATGACATAACTAGGTACATAAAAATGACACATACAAAAATTACTTACAAAGTCTCTCATTAAAAAATGGCTCGCTTTGGCGCAAAAAAAAAAATCAATTTTTCGATTAAAGGAAACCAAACCTCCTCTTTTACGACCAAACAACTCTCTAGCAGTTACCGACAAGGAAAAAGCAGATACATTAGCTGAAGAATTATAAACAGTATTCACACCACATTCAATCTCACCACCACCGCTGCACCTAGAGACGGTCATTGAATCACTCTACTCTCCACTACCTATGGCTTTACCCACAAAACCTACCTCACCAGCTAAATAAGCGGAATAATAAAAAAACTATCTAACAGAAAATCTCCTGGTCACGATCTTATAACCAACAAAGTAATTAAAAACCTACCAACCAAAACAATAATTTATCTAACACATATATATAATGCTACCCTTCGTCTGTCTTATTTCCCAACCACTTGGAAATCTTCAGTTATAGTCACTATTCTCAAACCAAGAAAACCACCCAAAAAACCATCCTCATACCGGTCCATAAGTCTCCTACCAGTTCTAGGTAAAATTTTGGAAAAAATACTACTAAAGCGCTTCTCTGTAATAACCGAACAAAATAAAAACTTACCAAACTTCTAATTCGGATTTCGAACGAATCACTCCACAATCAACCAGTTACACCGGGTTGCTGATGCAATCTCAACTGCCTTAGAAATAAAAAAATATTGTGCTGGAGTCTTTCTTGACGTAGCTAAAGCATTTGACACAGTCTGGCACGATGGACTACTCTTCAAATTAAAATATTTATTTCTCGCTTCATTCTATCTCATCTTAAAATCATACTTGGAAAATCGCACATTTAAGGTTCGCCACAACCTTCAACATTCAAAACAATTTCCCATTGGTGCCGGGGTACCACAAGGAAGCGAAATTGCACCTTTTCTGTACATGATTTACACATCTGATCTCCCCAAATCAAAAAAAGCAATCCTCGGTACCTACGCAGATGATACTGCACTTTTATCAATAGCTTGAGATAATATCACTGCAAGCCTTCAACATCAAACACACAACGATATTATCTCAGAATGGTTTGTCAAATGGAAAATTAAAGTTAATGAATCAAAATCTTCCTTCATCACATTTTCACTCAAGCCCCATATATGCCCTCCCATAACTATGAACAATATTACTATTCCTCACTCAAATGAAGTAAAATATCTTGGTTTGATATTCGACAGACGCCTGAAATGGTCATCCTATCTTAAAGACAAACGTAAAAAATTAAATTCAAGACTTCACCTATTAAGACCGCTTCCGCGCTCAAACCTCTCATTAACTCTTAAAATAATATTATATAAAACTCTCCTACAACCATTGTGGGCATACGGAGTAGTAATATTGGACTCTGCCAAAACATCTAATAAGAGAACTATACAAGCCTTCTAGAATTCTGTTATCGCATAATGACTGGAGCACCATGGTTTCTCTCTAATAATTCAACTAACTCCGACCTCAGGATTTGTTCAGTCAAAGAAACTGCTGCTCTCTATTACAAACGCCTCAGCTCAAAACTTCAATCCAACGCCAACCAGCTCATCAAGGATCTAGTTCTACCAAAATTACTTGAAAATCAGACCAGGCGTCTTAAGCGGAACTGGTATCGAGACTTAATAAATCTATAAACTCTAAAAATTGTATAAACTGTAAAAATTGTAATAAGTGTATGGTAAATACTAAGACTAACTTTAAAGTCACTAGGTGTCTCTAATGTGAGACTTTCTACAATGTCAGTATCATTCCCAGTTCTTTTACCCGCCCTAAATATTGCTTATCGTACAAATACGTATAGATTGTAATAATAATAATTTCAAAATAAAGTCACATATTAAAAAAAAAAAAAACTTTGTACGGAAATATTTATTTTAAATTTGATTGAATAAATTTAGTAGTACGGATGTGTTATTAACATGTGAATGTATTATTTATTTAAACTTATACGTCATTGGTATAATTGATTTTTACTAAAACAAAAAATGTATTTAAAGCATTTCTAAATAACTGTACTGATTACAATTTGATTCGTTAAAAATGTCGTCCTTTATAATGTATGCGAGTAAAATTTAACTAAAGAACCTAATGGAAATTCTGTGTTCTTTATATTAATATTGGTTATGTAGTTTAATCGCTGTTAAAACTAAACAATAAGAGTTCTAAAAATTGAAATATAAAAATGTATTTATAATAAAACAATTACCTGATTTATAGGAAAATAAATACTTTTTGGAACCTTAAATTCTGGAAAAATAATCAACGTGAACAAATTGCTTTTTATTGCACTTGACTTGAGACAAATATAATATTTTTATGAAAAAACAACGACGTGTCGTGTACTTTGTGGTGATGTGTACACATCATTGACATCATTAAGACGAAGCAATTGTTTGTTATTGCATAGTGCTTTCTTTATTAGAAATTCATATTCTTCTCGTGAACTATTTGTCTAATTATAATCCAACTAATGTACGGTCACGAGTGCGTATTGATTTAATTTGTTTAATGTATACGTTATGTTGTAAAGCCCCCATTTTCAATAGGTTATTTATTATACCTTTTTATTATTTTTAAGGAAACATGATCGTTTTTAATGCCTATTAATACAAAGACGTGCATACCAAAAATTGTGTTAATGTGCATCAACAGGTTACTTGTTAGTTGTTACTAGTTGTTTACCAATTTTTATTGATATTATCAGGCATACAATCTTATAATTGTACTCAGCAAATGTATCAGAATAAAAATTCGATAAGCCGGGTGCTATAACCTTTGTATTTACGTTACAATGCAGTTGAAGACGTTGTTCATAATACAGAATATAATATGACATAATAACTGAATATAAATATTATTTTTGGTACTCCATGACCGTAAGTTATTAGAATATCTTATGGTTTTATTTCTGTTTTTTTTTTAACTATCACTATAAATAGGATTTTTTTCATTTTTATAATTATTGAATACATTTGTGATTTAGGTCCCACTTTTCAAGTAGAAATATTATTTATAATATGAATATGAAAGTAATTTATGTGATACTAGTTGCGAAATAATATACACATTTGTTATGGTAATATTGACATAACTAAGTACCTACTGAATTAGTTTAACTTTTTGTTTTTAGTGATTTCAATATGCATTTTAAATATTAATAAGTTAGTTTGGGTAATTTTAGTGCTTTCGATATCGTACCTATCATATTTTATCTGACATTGTAGAGAAAATTTTGATTATATTGCAATAAATTAACTTTATTCACCACAACGATAGCTAATTTTACATATTGTACAGTTATGTAATATTGTACTTCGTTTAAAATATTATGATTCACCATTTTCAAGGAACTAGAAGGGGTTGCAAAAACTAATTTTATGGGTAGTAATTTAAAAACAATTATATATATATATATATATTTTTTTTTTTAAATTCTTTAATAATCCTAACACAAATGCATATTTTTTAAATTAACAATCTTAAAAATGACGATACAATTTATAATCAATCAAAGCGTTGATCTCTAGAATCAATTATTGTTTGAATTAGAACACAAATCGTGTCGTCCAAATAATTTGGTCTGAATGAAATTCTGTTTCATAGTCATTCGAAGTTTCTCAGATTTCTTTGGATTGCAAAGTTAATATAGCGAAAATTATACTTTATAATTATTATACAAATTGAAGCAATTTTAAAAGCACGCACAAGAGGATACAATGTAATGGTTTTATTTCACAATCTTCACCAGAAAAAGTATTTATGACTAAATGAAACGAAAAACATACTAGGTATGAATTAGCTACTGTGATCGGAATATAAAATATAAGAGCATAATAATTTTTTTTAATATGATTCTAATTATATATTATTAATTATAATCGAATAAATGCTAAGTGTAATTAAAGTTTTTAGGGCCGTGTATACATTTGGTACTGTTATGTCGTACCCTTCCATAAGACAATCGCGGCTACTAGTCGGTAAAGCCATTGCAATACCTATGATAATAATATTGTTACGGACGCAAAAACATACCAAGCACAAAAAGGCCTTCTTCAAGGTTAGCAAGTTTACACTATTCGACGAATCAAAACACAGTGTGCTGCGCCGTATACCAACAAACAAGGATACATGGGACACAAAAAGGCAACTTACCAGCCACTCTTTTTGTAACCAGACTCCAAAGAGGATACCGAGAAAAAGTTAAATCCAAGATTTTTCTATCAAGACCAACCTCAATTTCACACAAAAAATAACGACGGAGTTACATATAGATACGTCAAAATATCACTAAGCACACGGGAAACCGCCGTCCACAATAGTTATCATTAGTCGGTACAGAAACTCAAACAAGACAACATGCATCTCGACAAAATGTTATCTCATTCCCTTCAATCAAACTCTTACGATCGATATCACGTTGGAAGAATCGAAGAGAACGAGGACGACGATGACCGGCGAATAATAGTGACGACAACAGTGGACGAAAATTAACGGCGATGGACAAGGATTAACGGTGATCTACGTGGATTGGGAACGACGATGGTGGACGGGAGAACGGTAACCGGTGAATATCGGTTGACGAGCGCCCCCCTGTTTGCTAAACAATGATTTACCGTTTCCGACCGAATCCATCACGCAGTCCGCAACACGACCCAGGTGATCGCCGTCGACATGATTACCAGCGGCTTTGTACGCGGTTTTCGGTATTGTAGCTACATCCGTGGCTTGACTGTAAAACAGCTATTTTCACGGCTATCGCCTTGAGACCCCTCAACTCCGATTATTTAATCGTTGAGGCCCCGAGTCAGTCGGTACGTGGTTGACACTTATTCGAGTATGTCAACCACTGCTCACGACTCGAAGCACATCAATGTTTATATGTTATAAAAGCATAAGACCTACCTTTTGTAAACAAATAGTTTCGGATATTGCAATACCGTCTTATTATTATTTAAATGCTCGCGTGTACGTTATTTAACTGGTGCAATATTATTTTGTATACTGTTATTTTTTCTCACAAATTCATGCCAACTTCACCCACCTTCATCGTTTCTAGCCATTCACTCACCCAGTGCATGATTGTAAATTTATTATTATTAATATGCAATTATTATTTCACTAATGTAACATTTGTTCATTCTTCTCTTTATTTATATATCGAATGTTAATCTTAAGTGAAAAATATTATCTTAATTATTAATAATATTCAACAAGTTGTTTTTTTTTTTTTTTTTTATTTGACTTTTTTTATATATTATTAAATATTAAGGTCGTCTCATCCAAATATTCGTGATCGTAGTTCTTGTTACTGTACAGAATAGGTCATAAAATACCTGTAAAATCTACATAATTAATTATTAAAGTTTATTAGATATACTTAATTACTTACCTCAAACGGCCGTTCAATATATATAGGTATTATTAAATTATATCTACATACAATAAATATGATTTACTGTCTTATGAACTCATGACGTATTTAAATATGAGCTTATGTCATATCGATAAATAATACTTAGCTCGTACTATGAGTGAGTACATTTCGTTATAAGTCAAAATGTTTATAAACGTCAAGAAATCTAAAACGAAATTGTTTTTATGATGGTGCAGTTACTTTTTACTCATACTTCTACTAGCATACTAAAAAAAAAAAAAAAAAAAAAATAACAAATTATTTGTGCATATAAAAACAAAGAAGATAAGTATATTGGGACTTGTTAACTTCCTGAGTGCTTCAATATTTTGAAATAGTCAGAATGCATCCGTACAAACACAAAAATTACTTTGGCTTAACGTGAAATTAAAAATTAAATTTCTATTGAAATTTCTAGTTTATCGTTTACAAGTATAAAATAAATTTACGTAAGAATAACGTTTGGTTGGTGTTTCGAAAATTGCATTGCGCCCCAATTTTTATGCCGAAGCTTATTAGAATTAGGTTTTCTACGGAATAAGAAGATAAAAAAAATTAGCAGAAATGTTAAAAAAAAGTTTTTAATGGTTTTTATTTTCGAAAATGTGGCGTGATGATGATATAACAGTTGTTGATGGCTCTCGCCTATACAGTGTGTTTGCTTTTAAAGGTAACACTAAATAATTCTGTCCAGTGATATCGGATTAATATGCGGTTTTCAGGAGGGGATAGGGAATACATAAATACACATTTTTTAATGATTTTTACATTTTTAGAT